GCATGAACCCACATATTTCGTTCTTGCTAAATCCCCATATGTTCAGTTCGTGCTAAATCCTCTTAGAATGTCATAAACCCACATGTTCAGTTCGTTCGAAATCCACTGATCACCCTATACACTACCCCATTCTCAGTTATCTCAGCAAAACATCTCGTTACTGGTATGCCACGACGGTTAATGAATTATACTTTAAATGAGGATGCCCTTGTGCTACGTATTCTTCCATGATAATTTTATTTGCTATGACAACTACAAATATATGTACCTTCATTTTCAAACTTGACAAGGATAAACTCAACCAGGCTTGAGATTAAAAGTTTTGTGGTTTTGTAAATATCAAATTCATCTCTTTCTCATCAATATCAAAACGATTTGAAATACCAAAAGTTAAATTGTATACCCAAATTTAATCCGAATATTTCCTCATCTTTGTTATTTTCATTGCAGCATTTATATCGCTTTCAATCTTGCACTGTTATATCCAATAACCTATCTGGATAATCAAAATGAACCCTCTATTTAATCTAGAATAGATTTTATAAGTAAAAATATCTTCTGCCAGAGACGGCTATATATATACTGAGTCACTATATGCTGTTAAAATGATAGCTCTAAATTACAGTGAATTTTAAAGGCACGCGTAGAGCCATGAGTCAAGAAGCAAAACGCTTTCAGAGAAATGGCTTTTATGTGAGACAATACACAATCGCTATCGAAGATATGGAAGACTTTGAATAAAACAAATTAATACTTTAATAGAATGGGTTTCAGAGACACTCATTTGATGAAATGGCCGGTTTATTCGCGAGATATTAACCCGATTGAAAACTTAAGGATCATTCTAAAGAGTAGGTTTTACATTGGTGAACGTTAGTTTACCTATAAAGTTGCACTTCAAGGATCAGTTGAAGACATCCCTAACACAGGTTAACAGCAAAGTTGAGACCTGGGAAACCATTGCTACAAATCGGCTTTCCTCGCATAGGACCATCCGAAGGGAACGGGGACCGAGACTTTCAAGTCCAACCGTCAACATATAGAAGATCTGTGACGTGCTGTCAGGTGGACCCAACTCGACCAGCCTCGTCCACCATCCACACTGTTGTGAGACTTCTGCTCACGATTCTTCAGGGGTAGGCTGGGCCTTCACAGCCATCTCTACCGCCGCTACCAGAACGGAAGAACAGAATAAAAAGAGAGGTTCACGATTCTGTTACTCGAATGAGAGCGGGTGACGATACTATTCTAAATGGTATGAACTCTGTTTTATATGAAGAACGACCCACAAAATCAATGGACGAACGACTTCTTCAACAAATTTCAGGACATAGAGCATATGCTTCACATTATAACTTTGCTTTCATCAATTGAAAAATGTTTAATTTTGGTCTATAAAATTTGATTACGATACGATCTATTGCCATCACTCCGTCGTTTAAATATGTTTCATTCGATAGAATAGACGGATTATTTTAATATATTTTCTAATTATATGTTATTTTTATAGATAAAATTATTTAAGTAAATGCTCTGTTTATAATAAACAGTACTAATTCAAACATTCATTCCGGTAAATATAATTCATACTGTTTATTTCATATTTCCATTTCATAATAGATGTTGTCATTTGTTTACGTTAAACAAGCAGATATGATCATTCGAGAAAGATCGTGGGATATTTGTTGTTTAAAAACACTAATTTGTGCTTCGCTAACCAGATGCTTCCTCTGTAGTTAAATGGTAGAGCATGTCAGAACAAATGCCGGTTCCGTGTAGGACACAGGTTCGATTCCTGTCAGGACATTTCTCTGCTATTCAAGCCGGTAAATGTAACTAATACAGTTTAATTTTAAAAAAAAACAAAAAAAAAACAGACGATTTACTCAAATAATTGTATCCATAAAAACGTTTAAACAGAATATATATATGCATTTTACTTAAATAATTGTATCCATAAAAATAAAATATAAACAGAATATATATATATATATATATGGCTCCTATAAGATAATCATCCCCGCTGATTAAAATACGCATGCAGATTTTTTTCACAAATGTTACAAGAAATTTTATAACAAACGACGGGACACTTAACAACGAAAATATATACAAAAAAAAAATATATATATATATAAACCTTACTATACAACTTTGTCTATATGTCCTTCTGTCTGTTTACAAATCCCACTGTTTACTCTCTCTCTCTCTCTCTCTCTCTCTCTCTCTTCTCTCGGAAATTTATGTAGGTTAACAAAAATTTAAATGAAGCTGTTTCGAAATCTTACCAGTGCGCTCGGCAAATGGTCAAGAAATCAGAATATAGTCGATGAAAGTAAAGAGGTAATGTGACAATTGTTTAAACCAGGACAGAGATGACGTACTGAAAAGTCATTATCATTTTACGAGGGGCAACTGAACTGGGATGGAAGAAACTCTGTTAGTCCAGCTGAATCAGTGACCAAAAGTCAGCAAATTTCAAGGGATTCATTGATAAACAAAAAGACACATTTGGCGACTCCCTTATCTAGATATTTTTTTTTCAGGGTAAATTCATTATGTTCACTCTTTCTTCAAATTTAAAAATTTCAAATTTTGAGGTAATTATGTCGGTTAGTAGGAAAGGTGCCATCGCGAAGAACAATTCGTTGACTATTTATGTAAATAATTTAATCACAAGATCATTCACTGTAAATTTACGTCCAGGATCTTACAACATTTCACTTGTATTGACAGGTCTTCTTTTATCATAACGTTACATATTTAATAAGAAAAGTGATAAAAACTTAAATAAAAAAATAAATAAACTGGCTACTCAAGCACATATTTAAAAGAAAAGATAATTTAACAGTTAAGTCCCCTTTCATTCGTGCGCCTGCGCAGTCGCATCAATACAAAAATAACTTTAGTACGACGAAGTCCGAAAGGAGGAAAAATGTTTCTGCTTTATCGTAGCTTTCCCTAAAATTCTATTATGTACACTATTTACATTATTCGGACTATTGTTCTAATCTTTGTTGGCATATTTATCACAACGTTTCGGCTGTTGTACGCTCCGAACATCTTCAGTTGGTTGGAATGTCGAACTGAACCCTTTATTTCGCTATCACATATCTCCTGTTAATTCCCCTCTCCAAGTTCTCCACTGCCTTAACCAGCTATTGAACTCACACCTCTTTGGGTCCTGTCATTGAATCTAACCAACGACTTTATCCACTGTGCCATGTGAGTTCAATACCTGGTTAAGGGAGTGAAAAACTTGCAGAGGGAAATTAAGATAACTGATAACTGGCATCCATTAGACATGGCACGTGGAACTAGAACTGTCTACCCCAGCGAGCGAAAAAAAGGGTTCTGTTTGACATTCGAACCACCTGAAGAAGGCCGGAGCGCACAACAGCCGAAACGTCGTGATAAGTATGGCAACAAAGATGAGGAAAATTGTCCGAATAATGTAAATAGTATATATATATATATATATATATATATATATATATATATATATATAAGCATACATAGAATCAATCAGCAATATTAATGCGATTAATGGCGAAATCACTTCGCTAGTAGAAACATAATGTATGCATTGAAATACTGTTAATCCATTGAATGATGTGATTTTCATTTATAAAATTGTTGTCAGATGTTTCAATATATATATATATATATATATATATATATATATATATATATATATATATATATATATATATATATATATAGGGTCCTATAAAAGCTCATACAAGCAATGCTTGTGTATGAAATTTTAACAATGGAGAAATATGTTGCAAGACCACAAAAAAGAATATTCAGTTAAAATCATTGGATGCTATCAAGGGTCAGGTGTTGCAAAAGAGTTATCTATTTCTTAACTGGATATATTGATGAAGGCTAACGGGTTCAATATTTCCAGTACGTTTACCGCTGACCTGGACACAAACCCCGGTATTTCTATATTCCTCACCAGTACGAGGTTTCATCTGACCTATGACAAGTTTTGTTTTTAATTCTGCTGGGTGCCTAGAAACTCTCCCCGGCACGAAAGCACAAAGGCCTAGTTTGGTCACCAATAATCGGACTATGCGGTGCGTAGTTCTGGATTACATAGCACCAATAGCACTCATATATATGTAGAACCCCCCAAAATTGTAGAAAAAATCAATAGATTTAAGTAGTATCACTACGAACTCAATTCTGTGCAAAAGTAAGATCACACAAACATCACCTCAATTTTGTGCAAAAATAAGAACACACGAACGTCAAATTCAAATCCCCACGTTGGCATTTATTGCCCAATCAGGGAGGTTGTCTCAAACGCAGTTGAAAAAGAATTTTTTGTCGTATGCTAACAAATGAATGCTCAAAATTATTAGTAACCTTTGCTCTACTAATATCGATATTAAAAATTAGGAAATATATTTATTAACCAATAAAACTTCTGAGTTTAATATATCTAACTTTTAACTTCCTGTGATCCGATTTTTTTTAGAAATTACTTAAGGTAAATTAATAGACTTTTCTTTCAATATAATTTTGAGGTAAATAATAGATTACTCAGATTTTAGCATACTCAAATGAATTTATTTCACCCTGTAATAACACAATTCATTTCTTTTGTATTGTAAAAAATAAATTTTTTGTATGAACTTTGAGAGGATATGTATAATTTGTTTCTTTCAGCTTAAAAGAAAACAATGATTATATTCATACTTAGTAATAATATTATTTAAATTTGTATAGCTGTATTTGAAGATTATTTTTCTTCTTCGCTTTTCATGCACTTCCTCTTCTCTCTCTCTCTCTCTCTCTCTCTCTCTCTCTCCCTCCCTCTCTTTATATACATATGTGTGAGTGCGCATTTCATTTTAATCTGTCATGTTTGAATACGGGGGCAACAGATTAAATTTGTCCTTGCTTTGTCATCACTTCACACTAAGTTTTTATACTGCTTCTCTTGCTTTCAATGTGTTCTATGAGTCTTCTTCTTCTTCTTCTTCTTCTTACGATCACATCGCTCTGAAAACACTGGTTCCCATACGCTCACCAAAGTTAAGCAACGTCAAGACTGGTCAGTACCTAGATTGGTGACCGCTTGTGAATACCGGGTGTTACAACTTGGATGTGCGGGTGATATAAGGAAAAATGTATCGGAATTTTTAATCAAAGAGCCGAGTCCAAATTCCAATTGGTTTCGTTATAACCTTGAGAAAGATATGAATCCACCTCTTCTCCTCCCGGATATGGGTTAATTAGCAAGACTTGTATCGCTAAATCATTATTAACTGAAAAAAATCTTTACAATCTAAAACATTTTCTGGCTTTAAATAACCTTCAAAGGGTTGTTAAGCCGTTAAAAACGAATCAATTAATCAATAAATCTATATAGCATGTCTTTTCTAGATGTGGGCGATTATGCATCATAAGAACCTCTTGTCTTTTATTGGCCTAAGTAATTCTTGAACTCTTTTACTATCCTCTTTGTCCTTGTTAGATTCACTTAAACTCTTATACTCTGTTTCTCATGACTTCAGTGTGTCCTATGAATGTTAGATGTCCCAAACTCTCTTTCCTCGTTATGTGTTCCGAAAATTACAACTATATCTTTCTGATTTTAAGTTTTTTGTAGTTTCCTTAAAGCTTCTTCGTTGATCACATGTTCTACCCATTCTGTTTTCACTATCACGTTTAATACACGTATGATATACTGAAAGCAAGAGGAACAGATGAAAACAGCGAATAACCTGAATAACAAGTTTGTGTAAAGGAATATGAGAGACAGGGAAGGGTGGTGAAAAGAAAAACCTTAGACAGAGCTTCTTTTTTTTTTACTGTAAGGTTCACTCTTTACAAGACCCGGGGACACTCGAGGTAGAGGGTTACATTAGGAGGCCGTTTATTCGGATAGGAGGGGAATATATCGTTTACACCGAGACTTGAACAGATTAAGATTGCTGTGATCAGGGAAACATCGTCTAGGGAGTCGGTTCCACAGAGCAGTGGTTCGCAGAATGAAGCTTACCAATGGAATACGGAGCAAATGTGCGTGGTTTGGTAAAATGTAAGTGGTATGGCAGTTCCTTGCCATGGCGTTCATCTGAAGAAAATTTAAACACTTATTGAGGTTGTTACAATTTTTATTCTCCGTCAGTGTATTTAGGCAGATCATAAAGCTACTGTTTGTTTGCAAGTCATTCAGTGCATGTCTAAACTTGTGAAAATCCCCCCCAATCTGTTTATATTTATTTGCTTGGGTGGGTCTCTCTCCTATTTTGTTGTTCAATCTCTTTGTTTATTCATTTCTAAATTTGACGCGCACTGAACGACTTGGAGTCCGCCGGCCGCAGAGTATTTATCGGCCTTTTAATAGCATTCCGTAAGTCTCTTAATAAATAAGCATGTGAAGTACTCACAGATGGCGCTGCACTCGAAACTCATCTGACGAACCAATCAGCAAAGAATGAACTAGAATCAAGTGTCACTATTTTGGATTCTATATCCACGAAAGCGGACGTTCTAGGCAAGAAATGACCAATGACGGTGTTTACCCGTTCTCCCACTAGAACAAGATGTGACACAAGGTCGGTTTAATGTGGGCACCCGAGCGCGTAAACCCGGGTAGGGACAAAAATTCCCCTCATCCCCCGCAACCGTCGGTTGCGCTGGCCTCGGTGCGAGCACCGATCCCCTCTCTGATGCAATGGGAGGGCGCGGCCTCGGGCAGCTGTTCCCCAGGGCTGAGCACCTCTTCAGTATTATTTTCCTCAATTGCCCCTCTGTCCTTTGACAGAGAATCCCCTGAGCGCACTCTGTCCAAGGACAGACACGCAACTGAGAGATGATAAGACATGCGTTACAAATCCCTCCAAGGAAGGATTTTCACACCAAGAAATGACCAATGACAGGTTGCGAATGAAGAATATTTGCGAAATATTATTGTGCAAAATAGCAACAATCTAAGGTGATGATATTTATAATGTTTTCGTACTGGTGAACAAAATTAACAGGATAATATTCATTCTTTATTCCTCTTCATATACAGTCCAGGCCACACTTATTGGCATTCAGCGTCCTGGGTTTGACGATAAACTACGTCCAGCAGTAATGCCTCTGATCAGGAGGTTTTGAGGAGCGTGGAACCTCTTCTTAATTGCTGGTGCTCCCAGGTCCACCCTGACTAGGGGCGGTAGCACCTGTTAGGGTCCCAGCTATGGGCAAATAGTTAACTCCGAAACTGGGGAAAAACACTATGAAAGTGTAAAAATAAGTTTTAATACCAGAAATACTTGGTAAATATTATAATCAGCAACAAAGTTTTGAAGAAAAAAATATTACCAGCAATACATTTTTGAAAGAAATATTACCAACAATACGCTTTTGAAAAAAAATATTCCCAGCAACACATTTTTGGAAAAAAAAAATATTACCAGCTATACTTTATTTGAAAAAGAAAACATTACCAGCAATACATTTTTAAAGGAAAAAATTATTACTAGAAATAGATTTTTTACAAAACAAAATATTACCAGCAATAAAAATTTTGTCGGCATTAAAAAAAAACCATTGAGGTTGATATGCTGTAAAACAAAGCAAAGCAAACCAAACCAAACTTATTGGAAACTATGAAATTTCAGTATGTAATATAGAATGTCTCCTGAAAAAAAAAACATCCACAATAGGAATCTTCCACAATCATTAGACAATGTTAACCTCTTCAAGTCTAGAATAAACTGTCATCTATCTTAGATACCCTTATACTTGCTCTTATTTATTACTCGAACACCCGCACAACCTCATTCAGTAACCACTTTTTTAACCATTTTAAAACAATAATAGTTGTAACGAAAAAAAATTACATTATTTTTTCTTAAATTAATATATATATATATACCTAGCAAAATAATAGGTCTGTTTAGCCAAAAATATCAGGTCTCTCTTTAACTAAAATGTAGCAGGTATATTTAGCCAAAAGTAGCAGGTCCGTTTAGCAAAAACAGCAGGTTTTTCTAGCCCAAAATAGCATGTCTGTTTTGACAAAAATAGCAGGTCTGTCCTGATAAAAATAGCAGGTCTGTCAAGCCAAAAAAATACCAGGCCTGTCTCGCCAAAAATTGCAGGTATTTCTAGTTAAATCTATTGTAAAATTGCTAAGCAAAGTAACATACAAGTCTAGCAAAAATCTTGGAAAAACTGATTGTCCAGCAAAATAATCTGCCTATCAAAATTTTACCTATCGAGCGAAATTTATTTGGAGAAAAACATATTTCACTATCAAAATTGCGCTGATAAATAACGAATTTGCTGACAAAAACTGTTAGCCTCACAAAATACTAGGTCTTTCTTTCTTTATTTTTTTTCTCTTAAGAAAGGTGGGTATGATTGCAAACAAAAATAAATCGAAAAAAATAAGTGCGCGAATCCAGATTGTAGAAGTAGGTATAAATAATTTCGCCTTTCCAGATGTGGAAAATGCATTATTATTACTTCCCATCCGGAACGAGCGGCAAAAATACAAATCAAACGAAGAGGCGCTTCTTTGCCTTCCAACTTTTGACCACACATTAAGTCAAGGCGGCAAAACAACCAATCAAAACAGACTGCTTAGAACATAACATCAAATCAAGAATTTACATTAGCTAAAGCGAGTTTTTCCGCGGCTCGAGTATTCAGTGTTTATCTTGAGGGTGGCTACGGCAAAATATGGCTTTCCTTTCCTTCAAATACTTCATTCTGGGTTTTTCTTTGATAGAACTGTTTATTTAGAGCCCACCCGAGTCAAGAAGAATATTTTTGTTAAATTTTCTAGTAAAAAGAAACAACACTACGTAAATTTAAACAACTGAAACCATTTTGGCTGAAATATTTCTAATTCTAATTACGCTGTCGCTCCGGCTGTGTATCGTACACCATCTTCATTGAGAGATCAAGTCGTTTACTGACGATTTGACCCTGGGAAACTTGACTACAGAGGTAACAGCTACACTCTAAGCTAACAGTTTGGGGCAACCCTCTGGATTTCGAAGGTTGCGTGCCTTTTTTTTTTGTTCAAAACTAATTTACCACTCCTTTTCCAGCCAGAGGGACTTTCTTTTCCTGAAGGGTTTTATCATATATTCAATAATTAGTAGGCATCCGTTTATCTGGCGAGGGAAAGGTATCACCCTGTTTAGTTAAAATTCAGTTCTTTGATTGTAAGACTAGAGTGACCTCTCCAGGGCACAGGTCTGGGCGATGGAGTTTAAATTGAGCACAGTTCTGGGTGATATGGAGGACATATGCTATTATTCAATAATAACAATAATAATAACAATATAATTCAATAATAATAATAACAAAAATAACTCATTAATGCGTGAAGTTTCCTTAAAATGTAAACTCTTTTTGTCTTGCAGGTTAATGCTAATATTAGGCTTGACGGGTTTAAAACAACATCCATTTTTTTCTTTTTTTACAGAAGGTTCACCCTGTATAAGAACCGGCGGCCACTTGAGGTAAAAGATTACTTTAAGGGGTAGTTTATATGGATAAGGAAGGATAGATAACGATTGACTCTAGACTTCAACAGGTTAAGAATATAGTGATCGGGGAAACATCCTCTTGGGAGTGTATTACATATGGCAGTGGTTCGTGGGAAAGAGATGTTTAAGTGTAACTTACTTCTCGTCGATAGAATACATAGGAAACGTGGGTGCTTTGATGATATGTAAGTGGCATGGCGGGCCCTAGCTGTGAAGGTCAGACCAGGTGAAACCGGAAGATGCAGTTCGTCTGAGCACTTTCCATGGTAGTAGCCATAGAGAAGCGAGAGGCTCGACACATCCTGCCTGTTAGAGAGAAGTTGGAAGGTAGAAAATAATTCTTTTCCCGCAAGAACTCGGGGACGCTTTTTAAATCTAACAAAACCAGAAAGTGAGGTCTGGGCAGCTCCTGCCCAAATGTGGCAACAGTACTCCATGATCTGGTTCTTATAATGGTAGAGGATAGCATGAGAAGTCAGGTACTTAATGGGACGGTACAGAGAGCCAATCATTTTACCCGCGATAGATCTTTAGCGTTGTATCGTATGTAGGAGTTCCACTTGAGGTCGGGTAAAAACTAGGATTCCATGCACTAAT